TATAGATGTTAGTATTTTATAGTTTATAAATAAAATTAGGTACAACGAAAATGTACAAAGTTAAATATACACTATAAGTTCAGAAATGTTCTTAACTAGCTACGTTAAAAGAGACAAAGACAATTGTTTAATTTCAAAATAACGTTAGAGTGATCGGAACCTATAAACCTATTATATTCACTATACGTAAACCTCGACGTAAACTATTCTAATATTACAAAGCAACAACAAAACATATTTTTAACGATTAAATCATAAACTATTTTATATCAACATTAAAAATACACCATAAATTATTACTATTTAATAATAAAAATATAAAGAAACCATGGAAAGTTATTTGAAACAATTATTTCTCAAAAGTATTATTATTCTAAATTGTCTCTTTAATATTTGGAAATATTATATTATAAATAGTTAAAAATCAAATTCTTTATTCAAAATATGAAATTGCTAAAAGGAAATAAAAATAATAAACTACAGTATAGTAAATATTATTAATACTCTGATTAGTATTAAATACTAATGAGTAATGAATTACAACTTGTTATTAATCTATTACTGGGTTAAAATTTCAATGATATCATCAAGTGATTGATTTCACAATTATAAATAATAATTATGCCAATAGAATTTTAGAAGTAAATTGCAAAGTAAATTAAAATATGATCATATTTTAATTCTTTTATTTTAATGTTCAGTAAATATAAATAATTCATTAAATTCCTAACCAAATTATTTGTATAGCAAAGAAATCGAAAAAAATATCTATAATTTGTTTTTCTCAACGTGTATAATAACAAAAAAAAAAAACAATGACAAAAAATATTATATTTTTGTTACTCTGTAAACTTAGCTGTTTAAGTACATAAAAAGAAAATATTAATCATAATCATTATAAGACATCTTCAGTTTTATACAAACATACTATGCCCAAAAAAATCAGAAAAACTCAACATAATGGTATAGAAGTAAACTACAGTACCTATTGTTGATACCAAATCACTTGGTATAAACCTATTTAATGAGCTATAAGAGTATTTAACTTTTTATCATAATATATCTACAAAACAAAATACCCTGTTGAATTGTTAGGCACTAATTAAGTTTAAAAATTGTTAATATATTTTATAATTTTTCAACTAATCATAAAATGGCATTTAAATAAAAATCATACAAAACTTAAGATCATTAAAAACAAGTAAGCACGTTTATCTTAAAAAAAATGTTCAGTCGTTTAGGTGTTTAGATGACAAAAATTAAACTTATGCACAGATTAAACAGGTTTAGGTTCGTTATTTTAATAAAAAAAAAACCTCAAGATTAAAAGTTAACCAATGAAATTCTTAAAAATGAAATGTAAAGATTGCTTATAATAGTTTTATTATTTGTGAAATGTCTTAAAAATTACTCCAAACTGATATTAAAGTAAAAAAAGAAAAACCCACGCATTTTATACGAAAATTATTTATGACATTTTACCAATAAGCCATACTTTTTCTCAAAATGGTTTAAAGTAGCATTTTAATTTATGTTTACCATAGGTACCTAAACGAATGTCAAAGTGATTTTTTTGTCATAATGTTAAGACGAGTGTACAAGGTATAACGCAACTTTAAAGAATATATTAATAATATAATATGGGCGTTATAGATTTCATAGAAAGGGTAGGTTTTCATATGTAAAATGAATAAACAATTTCTGGAATTTCCAAAACCAGAAGCGGGTAATGAAATGGAATTTAATTTCGAAACAAGTTTTAAAATTGTTATTTATTTAATCGACACTAAGGCTTCGCCAAGCGGGTTCGTTATGAATACAGAACTTAAATTAATGTCAAAAACAAACTGACGGATTTTGCAGTTAAGGAGCATACAAAATGCAATATACATAGATATTTCAAACTATAGACATTAACGCGAACAGCGTTAAAATTCAGTCCTGTAGCGTGTCTCATTCACGCTACGACTATAATATTCGTATTATCATTGATTTATCAATGGTATTATTATAACACACAAAGGTACTGTACGTACACACGGTTGCGACGACGACGATACATTTCAAAATATAATAATATTCGAAATATTCCCAGGAACAAGGAAATCAGAAATCAATGAAATACCGTATACATAAAATTTTAATAATTTATATTTATTTTTTAAATGCATCGTAGCTGACATGAAACGATGTAATATCAATAGGCAAAATATTTCTTTTTTTTTGAAAGAAACATTTCTGCCCTATCATGCCAATAATCACGTGCATATACCTACTGAAATGTGGTGCTCCATAACTAGAAAGAAAGACCCATAAAAAGCTTCGAACCATAAAGTGAAATTCAACCGGTATGTACAGCAGCAACAGACAGGCGGCCCTTATCCAATGTTTATGAATGAAAACATTTTTATTTGCTGAGTTTTTTTGTCGTTACTATTTTCATTCGTATAACGATAATCCGTGTAATTGATTATAAATAACATTTATTACAACTACAATAACTTTAAGCATCACTAATTAATGCTTTAAAAATAAAAATCCTATATGAAAAAAAAACACCGTAATAATTGGTATTGGTATAAAATATTCAATCAATTTATTTACTAAACAATTCCTGTTTGGTTTTACATAATATCTCCATCTGCTACTAACGTATCACTAAAACTCTATAATAACCAATATAGCCAATAGCCAATAGCCAATAAGAACATTTATTCTTTGCATATAAAAATCAATACATTTGCTACTATTTTTTTTATATATATTTCAACGTTAAATATAGCATACTGTCTATATACTATAGAATTTATAGTATAGATTTATAGAGTATACTCGTTTACCTACTCCTTTTTTTCAGCGTTTCGTCTAATTTTTTTTTTCGACAATTATCTGTAACATTCACTCAAAGTTTTACATTGAATATCATTCCATATTTTTCTTGATGGTACAAGTTATATTGTAGCCAAAATATATTAAATGAATATATTTTAAAAATTGAACATTGAACACACATATGATTTGATACAATATTAATTTTCTGTGTTTTGGACAATAGTATTTAGACTTATAACACGTGAATGCAATATTATTATTTAATGTAACTATCGGTCATTTTCCTTTAACTTTTGCACCAATAATAGCTCAAAAAATGGAAATTGTAATGGAATTTATTACTAAATGTTTTATTAATGCATCTAATAAGTATGAAAAATATATTTAGGTTTATGTTATAAGAAGAATAAAAAGAAAATTAAGATTTGAGTCACTTTTTTTTTATTTTAAGCAGTGCAACTTACTTTTCTATGATATTATTATTTTTAGATAGGCATATAAAACAGGGTTATGTTTGTTGTATAATATGCGTATATTTGTTTTAATATAATTTTTTATTAAGTTGTTATTGATAATATTATAAATTAGATATAGTTTGGTATTGACTAATTTTAAATCTATGACTGCGACTGGAAAGGAAATAAAACTCGGACAGGTATTCCGTGAAGTATCCAAATTAATATATTATCATTAAACTAATGTTTATTATAAATTACAGTCGAAATATAATAAGACTAAAACGAAAAATATCTTATAATTTACATAAATATTATTTTAATACAATATCAAAGTTAAACGTTTTCTGTAAATGAAAAGCATCTTATAATCGCAAATAACACGTAGCCGCGAGCGAAGAAGTCACATTAATATTAATCAAATTGCAAAACAATTAAGAATTACTAAGGATAAAAAAACCAATAAAAATCGATGCGTAGAAAAAATGCATAACACGCTCTCGATTACGTACACAGACGTCACGAACCGTGATAGTAAATCTAAAAAAACCTTATATTTCCATCATAACAATGGTAAATAGCATGTTAATAATCAGGATAAAACATCGCATCATTGAATTGTGGATCGACTATGTAATTTAATAAACAGCTGTTCACATTCTTTTTTTCCTAAATCTGCGTATATAATTTCAAACGACGTACCATCTTGTAACCGAAAAGCTTTCCCTTCTTACCTTCGCCGTCAAAGTAGGAAACCCCACAAGCAAATGGCATTGCATATACGTGTCTGCCACTGCAGTGACGCACCACACGTGTAAACAATTTGAATGTGTACGTCGTAAGAAAAAAAAAACGCATTTCCCTTGTCTCGTCGTTAACGCGATCGATTTTCATACCATGAGAAGGTGCGTGTGCAATTCGAAAATGTTAGAATACTCAAATTACCGCGGCTATTGACAGTCTGTTATCGCAACAATATTAATATTAAACACAATAATCGCTCGTATTATGACAAAGGTTTATCGCAAATGTAAATCGTTAAAAGCCGTCATAGTTTCTTTGTCGGCAAAGACAAGTAGAAAACAAACGTTCAACAACAACTAAATCAAACGCGTTTATTGAATCTGCGTTATACACAAATACGTAATTTCATTAGTAACACATCAAATTGAGTTCCACAATATTTCCAATTATTCGATGAATTTCCTTTCACAACATGCTTTTTTGTGGAAATATAATTCGTAAGTTATATTCCGTTTAAAGGTCTTGGGTTTATTAAATAAACGACAGAGAGGTGGTTTACAAGATTCATACGTGTACGGATTTTTACCCGTACGAAGCCCAAGCGTCGAAGCTATTTATACACATTTCCACAGTGCGGTGGTCTCTATCCTGCAGCAGTAACGTATCGCACAGATGAGGAACTAGTGATCGTAACAACGCTTATTTGCGCGTGCGCAAGTACAGACTGCATTTTCCGTCGCATAAAAAAATAATAACTAAAAGGAATGTGAAAATAAATGCAAACACCTCCCCTCGCTGAGTACTCTATGGGGGGGGGAGGTCAGTACAGCTTAAGTTGTACACAGCAAGTGAGGGCAATACATTTCAAGTTTAACGCACGACCAAATGTAATAATATCGAAAGCGCGGGACGAAAATGACGAAAAATGTGTAGATACAGTATCACGATAATCGATTACTAATTGTTTACCTCTATCCGACAGCGGCTGCAGCAGCATCAACTACGGCGATCCTGACGCGTCGACACGCTTGACTGCACGTTCCGGCCGTTTATCACGTGTTCCGCGGATCTCACAGTTATCATCAAATTTGTTCTCCGCCGTCGGCAATGTCCCCTTCGATTGTATCGCTCGGCACCCAACGGACAATTATTATGAACTAAATAAATGAACGATGATGGACGCGGAGGACGGAAACGGATGGACGTTGTAACGAAACGGACGCACGACACGGACTGCTCGAGCGCCCGTACGTACGTTTTGTTTCGCTTCTTTCGAACCGTTGTACGCGACCGTACCGGTTTTCGTTGCGCGGAGGGAGGGGACGTCGGCGGGCCCGGTTACCATCTCCGCGGTAGCGGTTCAAGACGTGACGCGATAGTTAACCACTAACCAGATAGGCTGACGCGCGTGTAATCACTTCTCGACCGCCGACACGCCGACTTCGATAGTACAACGAAACGTGTAGTTGTACGGTACCTTACATTGGGGTCCACCGCGGGCTCGGAGCGCGATGATGTTATTTTTCTACTTTATTTCCCTGTTCCGTCGACGTTTACGTATTACCATTATTATTATTTCGTTATTTCACCGAAACGTGCGTGTATCGCATATTGTTACAATATTACATTTATGCGTACGTAATTTGCGTTTTGTTATTTTTCCGATGAGAATTTTTCCGCGACATGCACAACAGCGACACGACCACACGTGTGTGGGTGTATACCACCCCGATCACAAGCGCTTTGTTATTAGTTATTATCATTGTTTTACTACTATTACTGTTACTATTATTATTATTATTATATAAAATATAACGCTTTGTTATTATTATTATTATTATTATTATTATTACTGTTATTGTTGTATTTATGTACCAAGTACACCGCTAGTCTAAGTCTACTTGGATGCATTGATGATTTAGTCTGTTCAAAATAAAACACAGTGTCAAGATTCGAATTTCCATAAACAATTTTAAATGTTTTTCGCACTCGCATACCGCCCACGATTTCAGTACCTAAACAATGTCTGAAAAGTACAAAGCAAAAATCGTATCCCCAAGTTTGACTCTTATCGTTTGATTCCTCGAGGAGAGGGACGTGTTGCATGATGGAAAATGAAAAACAATCCCTTACGTACGTAACCTGCACGCTGCAGCTCTCTCCTTGTCATTATCTATAGCTTCAATAGACAAACGAGCAATGGCGTGACTATCTCACAGAAGTAGTGTGCTTTCGTAGCACTCTCGGTCGACATTATACTTTAAAAACCTATTAGGCACGGTCGATTTGGATATATCGGCTCGAACTCGACACTGCAAATCGATTGTATGATTGTAGTTATTGTCATAGGAAAAACATTCAATTACAATAATAACTATGTTATACGTCCTATTGTTTTGAGTAATATTATATGTTTGAATATATACAATGACAAATAGTACTATTCAATGTGATCCGTTCAAACCGTCGAGATAATTTTAATAGTAATTTATTTAATAAACGCTGTAAGACAAGGTACAGTTAAATACAATGTAATAAATATCATTGATTATGGGTAAGTATAAATGTATAATCATTATGAGATAGATATAATAAAAACATTAAATGTATAATAATTTTGAACAGTTGAACATAATAATAATATACTAAAGTATTTTTTCCCTATTTCTATAAAATATGCATAAAAATACATAGTATGAATTTCGCAAATTAAAACGCTATGACGAATTTTAGCACCAGATGAATAAAATAAATCAATATTGTACAGCATATTGTATATTTTCATTGTATTGAAAAAAATTACAATATTCACATTGTTTAATTTTTTGATAAAAAAAATGATAAAATAATAGAGCCATGATTGTAAAATTAGCACAACAACACCCACTTTACCTTTTTACATGGATAAACGTAATACCATAATACTTTAAAAAATAGCAGTATTACCCCTGTTTTGCCTGAAGAAACACAACAGGATTGTGCTTATTTATTTTATTTGTTGCTATTTATTTTGCTACGTTAAATGGATCTAATTAATAACGAATTTTATTCTTATTTAAGTTACAAGTTTATTTTGTTATTAAATAATTTAATGTATAAATTGTTTATTTGTTAACCTATGCTAGATTTATTTAATGAAGCGAAATAAACAACATACATATTTATGGTTTTTATGCCATAAGTTATAATTCATACATACATTTAAGTAAAAATTAACAGTAGCTAAATTTAAAATAACGTGTAAATTTCACCTTAATAAATAGGGGTAAAAATGTGAAGTCCAAATAATTATAGAGCAATTATTTTCAGAATTACTGTAAAAATACTGAAAATCCGGCGCACTTTACCATTTTGTTTTTTAAATTGCTGTAACTTGAACAATTTTGGATTTAGAAAGTTGGTTAAGCTACCAGAATTCATTAAAAATTAGACAAAAATAATAAATGGTTAAAATTGGTGGTTACCATTTAAGAAAAAAAAAGTTGTACTGTGCATGCGCATGTCTAATTAAGTTTAAAAAAATTAATGTTCCTAAAAATGTGAATTTTTATCTAATAAAAACCAACTAAAAAACCGAATTTAAAGTGCAGGTCTTTATGTAAAAATATTGATTGTTCTTCATTAGTGTTTACACACTATATATGTGAAATTGGTAACATTACAAATAAAAAAATTAAAAATTACATTCTGTTACTATATTACTATTAAGAGATCATATTACTTTCAAATATTTTTTTAGATATGACAATTTATTCAACACATTTGCATTATAAATTTAAGTTTATCTGGTTTTTTGGAAGGTTTATTTATATGATTATTTTTAATACGTTTAATTTTAAATAAGTTTCACTTTGGATATCTAACAATACATTAATGACTTCATAAATAACATAAAACTAAAATGAAAGATATGAATTATAAAATAGTGAATTATAATTTAGGTGGAATGATTCTAGCTCATTGGTTATTCTATTGGTTGGCTTCCTCTAAAGATTTACCGATGCATAAATTGGTAGAAAACCCACAGCAGGGCACACACTGTTCAAAATATATAATCAGAAAAATGGAAGTTATAGGTAGGCATAGGCATGTCTAAAAAATTTTCGCGGGTATGGCCAGTAAAATTTTTTATTAGGAAAATTGAAATCTTCAATTAAGATACAAAGACAAAGAGTGACTTGTATAGAATACACTAACTTAAAAACGTACATGTTTAGTAATTGTAGCTACTACAGTAGCTATAGCTAGTACATAATATACTCACTTTCTTCAAAAAAAATTAAAGGTCTATAACATAACATACAACTACACAGGTAGTTATAGTTATGGATATTAGATAATAAATATTATTGATTATTTTGTGTCACAGACATATCATATATATAAAATGTTATGTGAAAATATTTAATAATTAGTTCTGTTTTATTTAATCATTCTTTTTACTTTTTAGTGATTATTTTTAATGATTTAAGCATAAATTTAAAACGGAGCTGGATTTTGCAGCAGGTCTGGCCATTGGCAAAGTGGCCATAGCCGTAAACATGCCTATGTAGGTAGGAGTATTTTCAATTAAACACGAAAAGGTATCGCCGGGTAAGCTTATCAAATCAAGAATGAAAAAATATTTTAACCAGAGACCTATTTCCAAAATTGAATTGTATTCTTTTAATAAATTTCTATTCTTTTTTTTCACAAAGAAAACATTATCTCCTGTATTATTTTTTAGAGTATCACGCAAGTTAAATAATTGAAATGTTGAAATGTCTCTCCCAGTATTTTAGAATTAGAAACAATATTTCTTACGGAAATAATATAATACCGAAATTAACGCTATGTAAATAATTTTTAGCAATACGAAATTCTTGTTGAATTTTTTACTTATTTATTTTTAGTTATTATTTTTCTATTGAAAATATTTTCCGAAATTATATTATGATTGTAGATACTATGAACTTTCGTTACATACATGTACTTGATTCATAAATTTTCTTAGCACAACGATATTAAATACTGACAAAGTTTATAATTTTTTTATACTTCTTACATTTATGATTATCAATTAATAAACATGATTTTTTCAGTCTTACATTATTTTATTTTTTAATACAAGGATTCATTATTCAACACTTAATAATTTCACGGCGACACACTTTACGAAGCACAGAGCGCACTAAATTAATATTTTGTACGAAATGTCAACTCGCGTCACAACAACCTACAATAAACTGCAGGCTGCAGCTGACTCAAATATTAAATTTGAACGCAAACTGATATTCACAAATTAAACAAATAAAAAATATTATTATGATTACAGTCGCGATTTATATTAAATAACCGGATGAAATATAACTTAGGATTATAGTGTTGGAAATATTATGTTTTTATTATTTTATACATATTGGAATAATAAAACACTTTTCAATATAAAAAAAAATTACAAATGTTTACGGTTTCCGTAGATTAATAATTTAAAATATTGTATTGAACATATTTTTAAAAAACAATATCTTCATTTTACGGACAGCAATCTTGTAGTATGTTTTTTTGGTGAAAAGGTAAAACGGATGCAAAGGTTCAACTTTTTTGGAACATAATTGTGTTCCGTTTTTTTTCGTGTAAAGGGTAAAACGGGCACAATCGCGTTGGTGCCAAATATAGAGTGGATAACGACTCGCTGTACCAGATCAAAAAAAATATTTACACGCCTATGGCTGGGAAAATAACAATTTATTTTTTAATTAATACACACCTCTTACATATAAGTCCTCTTTACGTAGTTATAATGAAATACTCGAAATGTTGCCTTATTCTGGAGCCACTAAATTTAACGAGTACAATATCATAATAACTGTGTTGATGATTTACGATGATGATCAAAGCGTGATACATCCGGAAATTCCTACATAGTAAATCAGTTGCAGGTTGCAGTCAAAATAATTAGAAAGTAATACAATTTACGATCCGTAGTTAATCAACTCGATACTAACTATGAGTATTTAGTGTATTACGCTTTCATTATGTCGATATTATTCGTTACGCAGCCGATAAACGTACGCATATTATTATAATAAACAAATAGACGGAGAGAAAACGATAATTGACCATTTAAAAACATATAAAATCGACTGTTGTAAATATAAATGTTATAATAAAATGGCAAAAATTAATTAAATAGTTTAACTAATTGATTAAAAATATAAAAATAAATTTTCTTTTAACAATTCCATGGAATGTACACGGCTTATGATTC